GTTGCCCAGGCTGCTCTCCCAAAGTGCTGAGATTACAAGTGTGAGCCACCCCACCAGGCCATAAACCCTGCACTAGGTGTTTTACGTACATGATTCCATTTAATGGAACAAAGGGCCAAAGACTGAATGTATATATCATGTATAACAGAAAGAATGATAGAGATTAACTTGAGTTGGTCATTGAAAGGGGGCAGGGTTTAGGTAACAGAAACTGGAAAGGTTGAGCAAGGTGAACAGCATGAAAACCTTAAGGGCAAAAAGCTGTAGTGTTCAGGAGTAAAAAAAAAAAAAAAAAAAACTGTAACAGAGGAATCATGTGGGGGAGCACAAGGAAAAAGAGACACTGTGACTGAAGATTTTGGACTTCTCAAAGCACTGGGGAGCCATTGACAAAGTTGAATAGGGAATGATATGCAAATCACTGTTCTAGGAAAATTAACTTGGTTATCAGTGAGAAGGGATTAGAGGTAAGAGAGACTCTATTGGTACAGTGAAGTCAAGATCAGAGTGGTGGCAATGGAATGGATAGGAAGAAATGAATTTTAAGAGATATTCCAAATAAAGAATAAAAAGGATTTGGTGACCAGATGACACCAAGTTTTAAGCCTAGTTATCCAGAAAAAAAAAAAACAAAAAAACAAAAAAAAAAACCAAAAAAACGTGGTACCTAGTGATACCACAGGTAGCACTAACAGAAGAGGAGACTGTAAAAAGTGGTACCTGGCTGGGCGTGGTAGCTCATGCCTGTAATCCCGGCACTTTGGAAGCCAAGACGGGTGGATCACTCGAGGTCAGGAGTTTGAGACTAGCCTGGCCAACATGGTGAAACCTGCCTCTACTAAAAATACAAAAAAAAGCTGGGCATGGTGGCAGGTGCGTGTAATCCAGCTACTCAGGAGGCTGAGGCAGGAGAATCGTTTGAACCTGGGAGGCAGAGGTTGCAGTGAGCCAAGATCATGTCATGGCACTCCAGCCCAGACATGGTGAGACTCTGTCTCAAAAAAAAAGAAAAAAAAGGAAGAAAAAAGTGGTAGCAGAAGGACATGTTTACAGGAAAGAATAATTTGATTGGCGATTGCTGGAAAACACACCAGACTGGAAACCAAGTTCTGTTCCACACATTGCGTTGGCCTGGACAAATCTGCTAAGGTTCTTTGTGTATCAAATGAGGAGGCTGAGTTGAACTGGATATACAAGAGACATTTTTTTTTTTTTTTTTTTTTGAGACGGAGTTTCGCTCTTGTTACCCAGGCTGGAGTGCAATGGCGCGATCTCGGCTCACCGCAACCTCCGCCTCCTGGGCTCAGGCAATTCTCCTGCCTCAGCCTCCTAAGTAGCTGGGATTACAGGCATGCACCACCACGCCCAGCTAGTTTTTTGTATTTTTTGTAGAGACGGGGTTTCACCATGTTGACCAGGATGGTCTCGATCTTTCGACCTCGTGATCCACCCGCCTCGGCCTCCCAAAGTGCTGGGATTACAGGCTTGAGCCACCGCGCCCGGCCTTTTTTTTTTTTTAGAAGGAGTCTCACTCTGTTACCCAGGTAGTGGCAGAATCTCGGCTCACTGACACCTCTGCCTTCTGGGTTCAAGTGATTCTCATGCATCAGCCTCCTGAGTAGCTGGGATTACAGATTGCACCACCACACCAAGCTCATGTTTGTATTTTTAGTAGAGATGGGGTTTCACCATGTTGGCCAGGCTGGTCTTGAACTCCTGACCTCAAGTGATCCACCTGCCTCAGGCGTGGGATTACAGGCATGAGCCACTGCACCAGCCAAGAGGCATATCTTGGCTCTAAAACACTGAAAGTTTCAATAATGTTTAAGTATCAGAAATATGTAAATAAAACTGTCCAACAAAAATTTAAACACTCAGTATGCCATCTCAGGGGAAAGGTTGGGATTAGAGATAAAGCTGTAGCAGTCTTCTAGGTTGAAGCAAGCCACGAAAGAATGTAATCAGAGAAAAGAGCCAAGGCCTGAGCCTAGGGGAACACCCACATTGGAGTAGGTTGAAATGGGGCCCTTACGAGGCTTAGACATTGCTGCCAGATAGATAAGAGGAGGATTAGGATAGTGTGCTGTCATGCGATCTGAGGGCGGAGAGTTTCAGTAGGTAGCATCGGGTGTCAAATGATACAGAGACCATATTGCACATAGCCCTCGTAAAGGGCTTCGCTGTTGATTAGGTAGAAGTTAGATTATAATACTGGTTTTGTGTGCTCATTAGTGACTTTGGAAGGTGCAACAAAGTGAAAGCATCAGAACCTAGGCTGCAAGGGGTTAAGGATTGAGTGGCAGAAAGGAACCAGAAAGAGTAGAATAGACTACATTGTCAAGAATTACGGAGAAAAGAAGAGGACAGTCAGCCTTAAGAGATGTTCTTGGGCCGGGCGCGGCGGCTCAAGCCTGTAATCCCAGCACTTTGGGAGGCCGAGGCGGGTGGATCATGAGGTCGAGAGATCGAGACCATCCTGGTCAACATGGTGAAACCCCGTCTCTACTAAAATTACAAAAAATTAGCTGGGCATCGTGGCGCGTGCCTGTAATCCCACCCACTCAGGAGGCTGAGGCAGGAGAATTGCCTGAACCCAGGAGGCGGAGGTTGCGGTGAGCCGAGATCACGCCATTGCACTCCAGCCTTGGGTAACAAGAGCGAAACTCCGTCTCAAAAAAAAAAAAAAGAGATGTTCTCAAGGAGGAAGGATCTGATCATATTTGTGATCAAACTATTCCATTGCCACCACTCTGGTCTGATCCTACTTGTGATACTTGGACAAATAATTATTGTTGGGACAAACTGAAGTTACAAGATAAAGTGGGGATATGTGAGACAGCAAAAGTTCCAGAGGTGAAGGTAATCAAAAGCACAAATGGATACGTTTGCCTTTAAAAGGAGGTCATATTCTCTAAAAAATAAGGGGAGGCAATTATTCAGAGAACAGAAAACTTGAGAAATGAGGGAAAGACATGTGACTAGCTATGAGAAACATGCTAAAGAGTCGATAAGCAATGACTAAGTTGACAGAGAAGCCTGATGCCCTACAAAGGATTAGGATGGGAGAGGAAATGGTTTGGTGGAAAGTAAGACAAATCGGAAAAAGAGTAATATACAAATCCATTCATGGACTTCATTTCTGCCTTCTTTTTTTGGCCTCCTTCTAACACTGAGTTCTTACTTAGTCTAGCATATATCTAGCACCTGCAGCTTTTTTTTTTTTTTTTTTTTTTTTTTTTTTGAGACAGTCACTCTGTCACCCAGGCTAGAGTGCAGTGGCATGATCATGGCTCACTGGCAACCTCCACCTCCCGGGTTCAAGTGATTCTCCTGCCTCAGCCTACCAAGTAGCTTGGATTACAGGCACCCACCACCACACCCAGTTCATTTTTTTGTACTTTCAGTAGAGACAGAGTTTCACCATGTTGGCCAGGCTGGTCTCAAACTCCTAACCACAAGTGATCTGCCCACCTCAACCCCCCAAAGTGCTGGGATTACAGGCATAAGCCATTGCATGCGCCCTAGCTGCAGCTTTTTGAATAAGTATGAAGCCTAGTGTCTTGAGGTGTTCCCAAGTCTGACAATTCTAGGGTGCCCTTTCCTCTTTAAAACTGGCAACCGCTGGGCGCGGTGGCTTACGCCTGTAATCCTAGCACTTTGGGAGGCCAAGGCGGGTGGATCATGAGGTCAAGAGATCAAGACTATCCAGGCCAACGTGGTGAAACCCCGTCTCTACTAAAAATACTAAAATTAGCTGGGCTTGGTTATGTGTGCCTGTAGTCCTAGCTACTTGGGAAGCTGAGGCAGGAGAACTGCTTGAACCCAGAAGGCGGAGATTACAGTGAGCCGAGATTGCGCCACTGCACTTCAGCCTGGCGCCTGGTGACAGAGCGAGACTCTGTCTCAAAAAAAAAAACCAAAAAACAAAAAACTGGCAACCACAGTGGCTGTTTTGGCTCTTGTGTTCCTCCTCTAGCAGCAGAAACCTATATATGCATTTACCACAGGCATCAATAGTTTCCATCAAATTAAAGAACTAGCCCGGAGCAGAAGAACCTGCAAGTCTGGGCCAGCTGGAAGATTACAAAGTTGTAAAAACAAAGGGAAAGGTACTAGTTTCTGAGCCTGAATGAAAACATAAACGTGGCCAGGTGTGGTGGGTCAAGCCTGTAATCCTAGCACTTTGGGAGGCCAAGGCAGGCAGACCACTTGAGGTTAGGAGTTCAAGACCAGTCTGGCCAACATGCAGTGAAACCCCATCTCTCCAAAAGTACAAAAATTAGCTGGGCATGGTGGTGTGTGCCTGTAACCCCAGCTACTCAGGAGGCTGTGGCCTGAGAATCACTTAAACCCCGGAGGCAGAGGTTGCAGTTGCAGTGAGCTGAGATTGTGTCACTGTGCTCCAGCTTGGGCAACACAGTGAGACTGCACCTCAAAAAACAAGCCCTCCCGCCCCGCCATAAACCCAACTCTGAACCCTCTGTTTCAAGAATCTTCCATAGAAAAACAGCAGCAGAGTCCCCTTGTCCCACAAGGCTCATATTGTCATCCAGACCCTAATTTGGTAGAGCTCATGTTCACAAACATCCCCATTTCTACTTTTCTGCAGCTCACAGGATAAGGATTGGTTTTGGAGGCAGAGAGTTTTTTTGTGTTTAAAGAGACAGGGTCTCGCTATGTTGCCCAGGCTGAGGTGCAATGGCTATTCACAGGCGAGATCCCACTACTGATCAGCACGGGAGTTTTGACCAGCTCTGTTTCCGACCTGGGTTGGTTCACCCGTCCTTAGGCAACCTGAAGGTCCCCTGCTCCCGGGAGGTCACCATATTGATGCCGAACTTAGTGCAGACACCTGATCGGCAAAGCGCACTGCAGCCCAGAACTCCTGGGCTCAAGGGATTCTCCCACCTCAGCCTCCCGAGTAGCTGGGACTACAAGCACGCACCACCATGCCCGGCGGAGGCTATCTGGTTTTTAATTTCCCCCCAATCAGCAAACTGTTTAGGTATAAAAAAAAAAGTCTTTAATCAGAAAGGATTTATCTTCCCTCAACACAAATGCACACATTAAAAATAAAAAGACATATATACATGAATATTTCCACAAATGAGAGATCACAGTGGACAGCTACGTGCCCTGGGCTAGGGGTTGAGAAGATGAACATCAGGAGCAACTGGAGGATGGCTTCTCTGCTGTTCCCGTTGTCCTGTGGTCGTCTTTTTGGCCAAGCTGGGTACACTGGGAGGGGACAGGGTATAGCTCCAGTCTGATGGCAGAGTTACCGGCAAACTATAGCAACGAGGCCCCTCTCCAGACAGTTTCATAGGATCACCAGGGATGACGGGAGATGCTGTAGCAGGTGGGACTGGAGTGGTTGGGGCAGAGTGGGTGAAGGGTTGCACTCCATGCTGAAGGAAAAGAATGACACCAATGCCGGTTCCAGCGCCTAACGGACCGTGGCTAAAGGAGACGGTACCTGGGGAGCTGAGAGGGGGGTTGCAAATTGGAGTGGTGTGGATCCAGGTGAGGTTCATAGCTGGCCATTCTGTAAGGTGCCAAGGCTGCTTTGGTTTGAAAGCTAGATGTCCCTGCTGTGTCTGGTCCATCTTTTGCACAGGATATGCAGGAGAGGAAGCAGCTGAATCATTGTGGTGGGCTGGAAAACGCTACAGAGGGGAGAAATGAGAAAAAAAATGGAGAAAGCTTTCAGATTAGCTCCACCTGGCTACTGAAATCTTTGCATTCCTTGGGAACTCAGTTTGCAATGCAAACATATCTCGTTTTATGCAGCCGATATGATCTTGCCAGGCCATGATTAAGTTAAAGTTTTAGTAACCAACTTATACTTTCATTTATTCAAAAAAAAAATGAATGGCCTACTATGGACCACATACTATATTAGAAACTGGATATCCAGAGATAAACTAAAAACAAACAGCCCCATAGGTTCTCACTATTTATCATTCCTTTTAGAATTTCTTTAAAAAGAAGTCCATTTTTAATTGGAATCATTTCCCAAATTCTGCATTTAAATTATAATAGTCTATTAATAGTCTATGGTGAGTTCTTTAAGAAGTGTATATTAATATTCAGGCAAGATCCTGCTTTTTATTAAATTTTATATTTGAGACAGGGTCTCACTCTGTCAACCAGGCTGGAGTACAGCGGCACAATCATGGCTTACTGTAGCCTTGACCTCCCAAGCTCAAGAGATCCTCCCACCTCAGCCTCCTGAGTAGCTGGGACTACAGGCACACACCACCATGCCCAGTTACTTTTTGTATTTTTTGTAGAGACTGGGTTTCACCATGTTGCCCAGGCTAGTCTCAAACTCCTGGCCTCAACCAGTCCTCCTGCCTTGACCTCCCAAAGTGCTAGGATTACAGGTGTAAGCCACTGTGCCTGGCCTACTTATTTAATAGATTATTCACAGCAGTAATAACCATGGCTGATTGAAAATGAGGACTGGTGATTATCTACAGGAAACTCTCCTTCTCCATCATTTGAATGCCTTTGCATACCCTATTCTTTGAGGACAGAAAATAGGTCACTTCTATACTAGGTCTAAAACTATCAACACTGCTGCTATGGGTGTGTCCCTCCCCTACTTCCAGCGATGTACCTCTCATGATCAGTCCTTGAAACTCAGTGTAGACTCAAAACCTTTCAAAGGGTTTGGCACAAGGAAACTTGGGCAGAAATGAAAAGAAGGAGAGGGGAAGCGTTTGGGGGCAGTAGGGAAAAAGGCGTTTGCAGAGAGAAGCTGAGGCATCTTCCCGCATGAATCATTTGGCCAGGTAAAAAGCCTTTTGTATCTATGCAGAAAGCAGATAAGCTGTGGCATGAGGGATAGGATTAAACTTCATGGAGTTCTTCCCAGTGATCCAAACAAAACAACAACAAAAAACAATGCAGAAAGTTTAGGAATTCCCTTCCCTGAAATAAACTTAGAAAACATTCAGAAGAAAATGGCAAAAGGAACCCATTTCTGCATCCACATTTCATTTCCTTGGCTACCTTCCTACCTCTTCCTCATGTTCGTAAGTTCTTACCTTCGTCAGCTGATGCTTGCCACCACCCAATGATGACTTCTGGGCAGCTATATGAGGAAACCAAGTCTTTAACATCCCTTCTACCTGTAGCAAGGTTCCTAGATAACGTTCCCTGTGAAAATGACATGGTTTTTAAAAAAACAACAACAACAGAATTGGAGAAATCTCATTTTTTAAGAAGACCCAAGGAAAGAACCAGGGGACTTACCCCATCTGTGGCTTCTGCAGAACACCTACAATACGCTGGATCCTGTCCATTGCCACACTCTGCTGAAAACTGCTTAATCCTGGGGACAGGGACAGAGAGAGATTAAGGATTGAGATTCAAGCCTGTAGTCAGGTAAAGGAAGGACAGAAGGGGGTTTAAATAGATTGATCTAAAAAAATTAAGTCGGGCCAGGCGTGGTGGTTCACACCTTTAATCCCAGCACTTTGGGAGGCCAAGGCAGGTGGATCACCTGAGGTCAGGGGTTCAAAAGACCAGCCTGGCCAACGTGGCAAAACTCAGTCTCTACTAAAGATAAAAATTAGCTGGGTGTGGTGGTGGGCGCCTGTAATCCCAGCGACTTGGGAGGATGAGGGGGAAGAATCACTTGAACCCAGGAGGTGAAAGTTGTAGTGAGCCAAGAAGATCACAGACTGCACTCTAGCCTGGGCAAAAAGAGCAAAACTCCGTATCAAGAAAAAAAAAAAAAAAATTAAGTCATAGTAGCAAAAAAGGAGTCATACAGGCCCCAGACAAGAACTTAAGAGAAATAGATGTCAAAAGAAGGAAAGAGAAAGAGAAATGAACCTAGCCCAAATGAATGCAACGAATGAGATTACCTCTCTCAAAACGACCCATCTTCAGCCCATTGAGAAGGTCTGTGAGAGGAGGTATAAATCCTTGGAGTTCTTTACACTGTAAGAAAACAGGACAGATGCTATGAGAAGACTCAGAGCTGCATACACCACCAGTGGCTCTAACTTCACCTCCAAATCTAGGAGTCAATACTGTCCTCATAGAGTCCTTACCCACCGGCTGGGTGCTAAGCCACTCCAGGAGAGTCTCCTTTCACATGCTTTCTCTTACCTTCTGGGCAAACAGCAGGTCTCCCTCCGTGGTACAACCTTGGATGTTTAGACTGGTCTCCAATTCACCATCTCTTGATCTTTTCGCCCCAGATCCTGCCATAGGAGAAGCCGAGCCTCGCTGTTCCGGATGAGATGGTGTATGTTGGTTACTGGAAACCTTGGATCGATGCCTGCAGCGGATAGGACCCGGGCTGGGCCGTGAACCTCCCCTCTGCCCAACAGTGTCTGGCCTGGTTCCACGGGCCCCCTTGTCCTCCCTCTCACTATCAGAGGGGAAGCCAAAGTCACTGTTCACTGGGGAGGTGGGAAAAGACGAAGAGAGAGAGTAGGAGGAATAGGAAGAAACACTAGATGGAGAATCCATAGGTCCAGAAGCAGGGGCTGGAGAGCAGCTCCTGGAGTACCCAAAGATCGGAACCTGCAACTGAAGAGCAAAGCGAGGGAGTTTGAAACCGGAGTTTAGGATTATGAAATGGACTGGGAGATTGGGGTGTACTGCGTGGGATAATACTTGTTCTCTCTCTCCCCAATATTACCTGTCTCAGACACAAAAGAAAAGGACATTTCCACCCCCACCCCCGCCCATTAAGAACCTGGGATTCCCTCTCTGGCCTCGGCAGAGCAGCTCTCGGCCTGACGCGGCCTCCGTTCTTTTCCCCCTCCGTTCAGAGTAAATACCTGACTTGAAAGACACCCTCCCCTCCGCCCGTTGTTCGCCAGCCTGAGTCCGCAGCAAGCCTCTCCACCTGAGGCCATGCCACCCACAAGCGGTCAATCTGGGCACGCGAACCCACCTAGTGAGCCTACAGAAACCGCCCCCACAGGGACTGGCCTCCTGCCCTCTCCCAATGTTTCAAGCTCAGGATCCCTGCGCGGGTCTCTCTGGGTTCGCGCCTGCCACGTGATGCAAACCGTTGCAATACCAAGATCTGCATTCAGCCCCCAAACCCACTCCCTCTGGGTCCAATCCTCCCCAACAGCTTGCTTTTTCCTCCGAATCTCCTTACCTGTGTCAGCCTGCTCAGCCCAGGCTCGGTCTCCAGCTCCTTCTCTGGCTCTCCGGGTCTGGCAACCCACCTCCGCCTCTCTCAGTGGGCCCCGCCCCTTCCCCCTCCCAGACACGTGCAGCCCGGCACGTGCCTCCCCCTGCGTACACAGATCTCGCTCCCTCATTGGTTGCATCGCCGGTAACACGTGACTCTCGTTACTGAAGTCCACGGCCCATTTGCTACAGTACAAAGGGGCTCAGCCAATAGAGAGGCAGCCAGGTGATGATTGGCTGGAAGGGAAGCATTCCGTGCTCCGCCCCTACATGCGGCTCCCGGAGAGGACCCGGTGGTGAGAAAAGGAGGAGGATGGAAAAAAAGAGTGGAAAAGAAGGGAGGGGAGGAAAAGGGCGGAGCCGGTGGCCTTAAATAGGATGGTGATGCGCTGGAGACGCGCGGCTTGAGTGTTGCGAGATTGGTCGCGCTACTGAAGGCGTGCGTCTCCGGACGTGGGACGCCCCCCCGCCCCCGGTTCCGTCTCAGGAACTAACTCATCTGCCCCCTCTTTGAGCACCTCCGCTCACGAGCGCAGCACGTGGAAACCATCAGTGATTTGTGTCTGCAACGTGTGTGAGAGAATGGAGGTGTGTGACGCGGTCTATTCTCCCTCTCTCCGCGGCCCGGCCCTCGTGACTCTCCTGTCTCTGTTTCACCTCCCCCACCCCTTTCTCCTCCACGTTGGGTGCCTCCTGCCCTGCTGGGTGAGGAGGGTGGGGATTGCGGCCGAGAACACCGCGTCCTCTCTGGCTCCCGCTGGGGCGGCTCCTCCAGCCCTTTTCTTACATAACCTACCACGCACGTTACCAGCTCAGATGCCAGCCCGCCACGACGCTAGAGGTCAAAACGAAACTCAGTTTTTCCTGACTTTTTTGTCCAGGCTTCTCCGACCCGGCGTCCTGAATTATCTGATTCCAAGCACGGGAAACAGCGGGGTAGGTCCTTGATCTCCTAGGTTAAGGCTTTGTTCAGCTTCAGTACCTTCGTTTGTCCCCTGGAGACGATTCCGAAGACTTTGAAGGAGGGGAGGGAGGCAAGTCCAGAGTTTCGAGAGTCTCAGAAGTAAATGGGACGTTACTATTGTCGTTGCGCCTGGCATTTTGAGAGTACAATGGAGAGGAGAGCAGGGCACAAGGACTGTGAGCTGGTTGAAGATAGGATGTCGGAGAGACCGCAAGGGGGCAGCCCAAGTCTGATTAGGGTCCGGAGGACAGAGAATTAAAATTTTTAAGTGAGTTTGTCCCTGCCATAATTACCAGCTGCTGCAAAAGGCGCATTGTTGGACAGAGGTGTGGGTGGGGGTGGGTAGGTGTGAATATTTTAAATATATTCTAAGTAGTTTTTGATATTTTACATTATGTTTGAACAATGGGCTTATTCTTATAAAAAGAAAAAAAATCGAAATAAACCGCAGTCCCGTTTCCCCAAGCACACTGTTTCAACACCATATTTAATCAAATAAAACAACAGAATTAGCAATATGGACTGCGAATAAACCTGCTGTTTGTGGGTGCCCTCCAGTCTTCCCCAAACTTCAGGTTTATTCACAGTCCATAATGCCCTCTAATTCTATTGTCACCCAACTCCCCTTCCAGTCTACACTTGCTGTCTCTAAATCCTGGTGCTCTCTTGAGTTGTGACTTTAGAACAGACATTCATGAAGCAGCAGACAGTAACCAGACTATTTCATTTATCATTTATTTTATCTTCCAATTTCTTCTTGCCAAACTCCCATCCAGAGAGTCATAGCAGCCTTCTCCCACCTGAAAAAAAAAAAAAAGTCAGGAGACCCGGGAAACCCTTCATACCTCCCACCTCTATGGAAACTCCCTAGATATTCTGAGCTGGGATTGCTCTGTGATAACTCCTGGGAAAGATGCGTTTGTACCCCTCTCCTCCATAGTCCTTTTACCTCCTGCTGAATCTCTTTATGCTTGATGGTTATTTCGAATTCTGAATTTAAAACTTACTTCCCTATAATACAGGTTTCTCTTCCCTTCTCTCCCGGCACCCTGCCATGCCTATCAGAGAACCGCCACGCCTTCTGCCTCTGAACTCTGCCTCTTGACTCTACCAGGTTTTAGGACCCACCCATTTTGCCCTCTGATACTCGCCATGACTTGAAACATGGCCAGGCTGGAACTAGCTTTGATTGTTCCAGACATTTTGGAAGCCTGGAGAGGTATTTCCCCCACCCCTTCATCTACCTGCCTCTGCTCTAGGAGATTCTGAAGTCCTCTTAGTTCAGAAAAATTATTAACTCATCACAAAAGTCTACCCCAGCATCTCCTAAACTTTTTAAAGACTGAATAAGAACACTTTTTAAAATGTGATCCCTCTTCTTTCATCTTACTTGTTATTTTTTTGAGACAGAGTCTCAGTCTGTTGCCCAGGGACAGTAGTACAGTGGCCAGATCATGGCTCTCTGCAGCCTCCACTTCCTGGGCTCAAAGGATCCTTCCACCCCAAACTTCCCAGTAGCTGGGAGTGCGGGCATGTGCTACCATACCCCACTACTTTAAATTTTTAATTTTTTTAGCTTCTTGTAGAAGATTTATTTATTTATTTATTTATTTATTTATTTATGAGACGGAGTTTCACTCTTGTTACCCAGGCTGGAGTGCAATGGCGCGATCTCGGCTCACTGCAACCTCCGCCTCCTGGGTTCAGGCAATTCTCCTGCCTCAGCCTCCTGAGTAGCTGGGATTACAGGCACGCGCCACCACGCCCAGCTACTTTTTTGTATTTTTAGTAGAGACGGGGTTTCACCATGTTGACCAGGATGGTCTCGATCTCTTGACCTCGTGATCCACCCGCCTCAGCCTCCCAAAGTGCTGGGATTACAGGCTTGAGCCACCGCGCCCGGCTGACTTATTTATTTTTACATTTTGTGTAGAGACAAGGCCTCACTATGTAGCTCAGCTTGGTCTCAGACTATGTTGCTCAGCCTGGTCTGGAACTCCTGGGCTCAAGTGATCCTCCCACCTTAGCCTCCCAAAGGGCTGGGATTTCAGGGATTAGCCACTATGCCTGAATCTCTTCCTTCAGGGGCTGATAATTGACCAGGCTGGAAACACTAGCCAGAGATACTGGTAAGAATTGCTTTGGTTTAGTGTGGGAATTAAAAAAAATATTATTTCACAGACTCCCCCAAAGCCAGTGGCTGCACTCTTACCTTCTACATGAAATACATCCCCGCCTGAACAAGGGCACAAGACAGGAGGAGGGGAATAGGACTCTGCAAACCGGACACAGCATCGTTCAGATCTGGACTCTGCTAAAATACAGACATCCCCACACCGTAGGCTGGTATCATTCCTGCTACCACTTCTCTGTCCTCCTCCGAAAGGACTGCCACCTCTTTACAATAATATCTGTCTCCCTTTCCTTTGGGCTTTAGAGAAAGATCCATCCCTCCCCTCACTGTAAGGAGTCCTTTCTTCTGTGTCTTTCAGCCATCCCTGACCATACCAGGGAGGCCAATTCAATTCAGTTATTTCTAATTTTTTTTTTTTTTTTTTTTTTTTTTTTGAGACGGAGTTTTGCTCTCGTTACCCAGGCTGGAGTGCAATGGCACGATCTCGGCTCACCGCAACCTCCGCCTCCCGGGTTCAGGCAATTCTCCTGCCTCAGCCTCCTGAGTAGCTGGGATTACAGGCACGCGCCACCATGCCCAGCTAATGTTTTGTATTTTTAGTAGAGACGGGGTTTCACCATGTTGACCAGGATGGTCTCGATCTCTTGACCTCGTGATCCACCCGCCTCGGCCTCCCAAAGTGCTGGGATTACAGGCTTGAGCCACTGCGCCCGGCCATTTCTAATTTTTATCTATTATGTGTGTGATACTGTGCTAGGTGCTATAGGGAGGGACATAAATATGAATAAGACAAGGTTCTTGTCCTCAAGGAATTTACAATCTAAAGAGAGCCTACCATATACTTTTATTTTATTTATTTATTTGTTTATTATCCTTTTTTTGAGACAGAGTCTTGTTCCATCGCCAGGCTGAAGTACAGTGGTGTGATCTCCACTCGCTTTTACCTCTACCTCCTGGGTTCAAGCAATTCTCCTGCCTCAGCCTCCTGAGTAGCTGGGATTACAGGTGTCCATCACCACGCCTGGCTAATTTTTGTATTTTTAGCAGAGACGGGGTTTTGCCATGTTGGCCAGGCTGGTCTCAAACTCCCGACCTCAGGTGATCCGCCTGCCTCAGCTTCTCAAAGTGCTGGGATTACAGGTGTGAGCCACCATGCCCAGCCTACTATATGCTTTAAAAAAGTTTACCTGGCCGGGCGCGGTGGCTCAAGCCTGTAATCCCAGCACTTTGGGAGGCCGAGGCGGGTGGATCACAAGGTCAAGAGATCGAGACCATCTTGGTCAACATGGTGAAACTCCGTCTCTACTAAAAATACAAAAAAAATAGCTGGGCATGGTGGTGCGTGTCTGTAATCCCAGCTACTCAGGAGGCTGAGGCAGGAGAATTGCCTGAACCCAGGAGGCGGAGGTTGCGGTGAGCCGAGACCATACCATTGCACTCCAGCCTGGGTAACAAGAGCGGAACTCCGTCTCAGAAAAAAAAAAAAAAAAAAAAAAAATTACCTCCCCTTATTGTTGATCTTTCACTTTCCATTCTTACTGCCTTCTCTCATCTGTGCTCAACTATGTGCTGGCTGCTCTTTGGGCCTATTTCCCTTTCTAGCTGTTGCTTCTCTTTTTTATTACCAGATTTTTTTTTCTTTTCTTTTTTTTGAGACGGAGTCTTGCTCTGTCACCCAGGCTTGAGTGCAGTGGTGCGATCTCAGTTTACTGCAGCCTCCGCCTCCTGGGTTCAAGCGATTCTCCTGCCTCAGCCTCCTAAGTAGCTGGGACTACAGGTGCCCACCACCACACCTGGCTAATTTTTTGTATTTTTAGTAGAGACGGGGTTTCACCCTGTTAGCCAGGATGGTCTCGATCTCCTGACCTCGTGATCCGCCCGCCTCGGCCTCCCAAAGTGCTGAGATTACAGGTGTGAGCCACCGCGCCTGGCCTTTTTCATTACCAGGTTTTCTAGATTGTTGGTCTGTACTCACCTCCCTTTCCCCGTAGCGTACACCCTTTTTAACTCTGCAAAAATCTAGCTTTTTTCTCCAAGCATTCAATTAAAACTACCTTCCTGAGTGTTACCAGTGACCTCCTTCTTCTTGGCCTCTTGGTAGCTTTTGGTGGATCATTTTAAACTTTCTTTTCTAGACTCTGTAATGCAAACTTGGCTATCTGCCGGCTTCTCCAGTCAAATCCTTCTCCATTCCATTCACTAATTCCTCCTCCTCCCACTCACTGCAGGCATTGTCACTGGCTTTCTGAGCTTGTGTGTACTGGCTCTGTTGAGCTCATTTACTTTCTTTTTTTTTTTTTTTTTTTTTTTTTTTTTTGAGACGGACTTTCGCTCTTGTTACCCAGGCTGGAGTGCAATGGCGCGATCTCGGCTCACCGCAACCTCCGCCTCCTGGGTTCAGGCAATTCTCCTGCCTCAGCCTCCTGAGTAGCTGGGATGACAGGCACGCGCCACCATGCCCAGCTGATTTTTTTTGTATTTTTAGTAGAGACGGGGTTTCACCATGTTGACCAGGATGGTCTTGATCTCTCGACCTCGTGATTCACCCGCCTCGGCCTCCCAAAGTGCTGGGATTACAGGCTTGAGCCACCGCGCCCGGCCTCATTTACTTTCATAACTGTGACTTTGCACTTAGAACTCTAGCCCTGATCTAGTTCAGTGACCTTTAGGACACCCTCATAGGATTGTCA